TTGTCTCAAAATATTCCTTCATCTTTTGTGGCTTATTGTTTAAAATACATTTCTGTTAATATTGATATTATTATATTAATTCACACTAGAGAATATTTGAGGTTGAACGTGACAACCCGGCGCACGAACTGTGGGCGGTGCCTTGTCAGTTCTCAGCATTCAGCACATTGTTGCCAAGTCTTCAACATCAACATTATATTTTGTTATAGGGTACAAGAGATATACAGACATACTGGTTGCTCGAAAAAGTCAAGAATGATCTATAATATCATGGCTCACTCTTATTATGTTTCATCCCGTGTTTTATCCAACGACAGGACTCTAATCTTTACGATAAATTGATTATGATTGGTGACTTACAACGTTGCTTCATGAGTGGAAATGAAAGATTATTTTTGCATTATTGCAGTATCATTCATCATCAGAAAAATATATCGCGTTCCAGTTATGAATGTTGAAAACAATATCTAGACTCTTCATAGATTCATATTCTATGTAGGTCTCACGATTCATATTTGAAATTGATCCTTAGTTTTAGATTCGAACAGCACATTGTTTGGCATGCAAGGTCCTTAATATAACCCACATAATTGGAAATGTGGAAGATGCCTACTGGAAAAACCACTATTCGGAAAGAAAGCGATTATGTAGCAATCTAGTAACGGACGATGAAAATATCATTTAGGTATGTCTCAGATTCGAAATCCATGTACTTCATCCGATGATATTGATTTTCTGATTCAAATTTACTTCGACTGATATGATTGTGATGTTCAGTTGCAGATCCGAGAAGCAGTGTTTGATACTTGCCACTCAATCGGAGAAAACCACCTAGTCAAGACGAACCGAACAGAAGATCCGCAAATAGACCTGATCACAGTATACTTTTCAGAATCCAGATCATTATATTCGTACGGAAGGCAATATATTGATATCCTTCCCAGATCTCAAAAAGACAGATGAGACAGATATTCACCTTTAAGTCTCTATGGAAACACGACAGGTACCCTCACGAGGGAAGAGTATCAACTCGGCGTTTATAAACCCTCTCTGCAAAGGAGGTAGGCGCATGGTGGGTTAGGTATATACAGTGTTCTTCATTGTAGAGAAAATTGTTGTTTATCTGCCTGTCTCGTCTTCATTGAGATAGTTGATGAATTACAAAAATATATTGCGTTCCAGTTATGAATGTTGAAACCAATATCCAGACTTTTCATAGATTTATATTCTATGTAGGTCTCATGCACGATTCAAATTTGAAATTGATACTTAGTTTTAGATCTGAGCAGCACATTGTTTGGCCTTCAACATCCTTAATATAACCAACGTGATTGAACATGTGAAAGATGACTACTGGAAAAACCACTATACAGAAAGAAAGCAGATATGTAGCAATCTAGTTACGGACGTTGAAAATATTATTCAGGTATGTCTCAGATTCAACTTCTATGTATTTCCTCTAATGATATTTTCTGATTCGAATGTACTTCGATTTGAATGTGATGTTTAGTTGCAGATCGAAGAAGCAGTATTTGATACTTGCCACTCAATCGGAGAAAACCATCCAGTAAATACGGACCGAACAGAAGATCCGCAAAGAGAACTGACCAGAGTATACTTTACAGAATTCAGATCGTTATATACGTACGGAAGGCGATATATTCATTACTTTTCCAGATTCTCAAGCAGACAGATAGACAGATATTCAGCTTTATGTCTCTATGGAAACACGACAGGTACCCTTACGAGGGGAGAGTATCAACTCGGCGTTCATAAACCCTCTCTGCAAAGGAGGTAGACGCATGGTGGGTTAGGTATATACAGTGTTCTTCATTGCAGAGGAAATTGTTGTTTATCTGCCTGCCTCGTCTTCATTGAGATATTTGATGAATTACAAAAATATATCGCGTTCCAGTTACGAATGTTGAAAACAATATCCAGACTTTTCATGGATTTATATTGTACATAGGTCTCATGATACAAATTTGAAATTGATACTTGGTTTCAGATCCTAGCAGCATATTGTTTGGCCTTCAAGGTCCTCAATCCTCAATATTACCCACATAATTGAAATTGTGAAAGATCGCCCTACTGAAAGAACAACTATTCGGAAAGGAAGCGGATATGTAGCAATAATCCAGTTACAAACGTTGAAAATATTATTCAGGAATGTCTCAGATTCAACATCCATGTACATCTTCTAATGATATTTATTTCCGGATTTGAATGTAATTCGATTAATATGTAGCAATCCAGTTACTTACGATGAAAATATCATTCAGGTATGTCTCAGACTCAACATCTATGTACTTCATCAGATGATATTAATTATCTGACTCAAATGTTCTTCGATTAATATGTGATGTTCAGTTGCAGATCCGAAAAGCAGTGTTTGCTACTTGCCACTCAATCCGAGAAAACCACCCAGTCAAGACGAACCGAACAATCCGCGAAGAGACCTGACCAGAGTATACTTTATAGAATTCAGATCACTATATATTCGTTCGGAAGGCGATATATTGATATCCTTTCCAGATTCTCAAGAAAACAGATAAGACAGATATTCACCTTTATGTCTCTATGGAAACACGACAGGTACCCTTACGAGGGGAGAGTATCAACTCGGCGTTTATAAACCCTCTCTGCAAAGGAGGTAGGCGCATGGTGGGTTAGGTATATACAGTGTTCTTCATCGCAGAGAAAATTGTTGTTTATCTGCCTGTATCGTCTTCATTGAGATAGTTGATGAATTTCAAAAATATATCGCGTTCCAGTTACGAATGTTGAAAACAATATCCAATATTCTATCCCACCAAACATATTTGGAAGCTATGTTGATGCAAGGTTGTGGCAAATACTATAACGGACGTTCAGCAATATTGCAAAAGTGAAGTTTGTAAACGTAACGTTCCAGCAATGTCACAGCAACATGTAATATTGCTGCAACGCTACATCATCAAACTTAACTTTTGCAATATTGCTGAACGTCCGTTTCAGTAATTGCTTCAATATTGCATCAACATAGCTTCCAACTTTGCTTAGTGGGATGTAGGTCTCACGATTCAAATTTGAAATTGATCCCTAGTTTTAGATCCGAGCAGCACATCGTTTGGCCTTGAAGGTCCTTAATATAACCCACGTACGTAATTGAGAATGTGGAAGATGCGCCTACTATAATAATACAATTCGGAATACTGAGTGCATAATCTCAGAATTAGACCGCATCTAGAAGGATATTTCATTAGTATATAGCTCTGGTATATAGTCATGATGACGTCAACATTAACTATTTTTGAATTCCTATTTCTTTCACTTGACCCACCTCCACAGTTTACCCGTGTATCTCTCACTTCGACATCCACCCCATTTATTCAAAATTCGAATGTTCCCATCAGGTCCTCCATTTTTCATATTCATCATTTGTAAACAAATATGTTGTATGAGATCTAAGATGTGACCTGTGTAGGCTTCTCTTTAGAACTTCAATTTTGAATTTGACGATTGAAAGGCCTTGATCCATGTTCCATGTTCCATGTCATTGTCATAACCTCCTGAGTCCTGATGTCCAATAGGTTGGACATCGAGATTTTATGGTTTCTCTAAATATGTACTAGATTTCCGGCAGCGAAACCCTCGGTCCAACGTATTGGAGGTACGAACGCAGGCATTGCGCGCGAATCTGATGCAAAGTCATGTTGTATTGTGGTATTGAATGCTTAGTATTGATCACGTTAACAATGGCGGCGTTTCGTCGTGCAACAATTGACGGTGAGTACAAGATTTGAGCGATTTTATGCGTATTTCTTGTTTAAAACTACTCAAAAATGATTAAAGAATAGGTCTAGAGTATATTCTGTTCATGACATGATTTACCCAATTCACTTTTTAGGTTATTGTACCGTGTCCATTCAGTTGGACAGTAGGACGTACTCTAACATTTTTCTATAGATGGTATCTTTCTTTCTAGCAATTTTTGGAAGAAATAATTGTCTTCGCCCTGGAGAAGACGATGATAAAATTGAGCAACTTTTTGATGCCAACTGCTCCGACCTTGAAATTGATGATTCCTCTGGCGACGAGGGTGGTTTTGATACTCCTGAAGTTCAACAAGGTCTTGAGGTAACAGAAGACGCCCCTGGTGAATTTTCAGACATTTTGAAATACATAGATTTCAAAATTTCTTTCGCCAATTATTTATTTGTAGTAGCAAACACTCAAACTGCTGGTGAAAATAGATTACCGTTAATGGTAACCAGAAGCAATCTCTCCCTGTCTGTTTCGAGAACCCCTATGTCTGCGACGAAACAAAAGACTATGCATCTACCAATTGTGGCAACTGATCTCAAAAATGCTGTTAGATGTAAAAATCCAGGTTGCAAATTGAAAACAAAATTTTATTGCGAAAAATGTGAACTATTTTTGTGTCTTACGGGAAGCAATAATTGCTTCAGAAGTTTTCATTTACGTAATAATCAGTAGTGATCTCGTCCTGATGTCCAATTCATTGGACATAATTTTTTTTGTACTTCTGTGTGAATAAAAATTTCCAAAAAAATTTGGTGATGTTTTTGTACCAAAAGAAACAAAACCTACAAATATTGTCTTCATATTACTTCAAATGTAGTCTCAGGTCTCAGGAGGATAACCCCAATTTCTGACATTGTTATTGTTAATTGATACAAATTTTACTTTTAATATTCTCTTAATAATCTGTTTTATTATTCTAGTCTTGTTCTTGTTGGATTTTGGTAATTGAGAAAATGAAATTTGTTAATTAGAAGTGGCCCATTTTTGGCACATTATCAATCATCAGTGACCATTAAACTAGATTGTTTGCTACACTAGAAGCAAAAATTGAAATATATTGATGATCTGATATGTTTCGGTGACGAGATAAGATAAACGAATTATTTGGCAGCCATTTCAGCTCGAGGTATTATAGTAGAGATTATATCAGAACATATTGTGTTTCAAAGCAAAGGTGGAAACATAGATTGGAAATGTCTGAAATCCAGCTGAAACCAGTCAATGAGGGTGATGTTCAGGAACTGAAAAAACGTATGAAAATGATTGCTGATGCTGACCCAAGTCAGTATCACAATGAGTTCTCTTTGAAAAGATATTTGAGAGCCTTCAAAAATGTTGATGATGCATTTAAGGTTATGATCTTTACTGTCTTGAAACTTATTCATCAAACTATTTTATAATATTTTCTTCAGGCAATTTTGAAAACAAACAAGTGGAGAGTAGAATATGGTGTTGAAAAATTGACTGCAGAGTCTCCAGAAGTGAAGAACAATCTGGAAGCTAACAAAGCAAGGGTTCTGAAACATAGAGATATGTTTGGCAGGCCTGTTGTGTACATTCCTGCCAAAAACCACAATGCTTCCAACAGAGATATAGAGGAATTGACCAAATTCATTGTATACTGTTTGGTATGTTCTTATTTTAATCTGTGCTTCTCAAATTTTCTGGAATTTCATCATGGTTCTCCATTTATTGTTGTCTAGGAGGATGCCTGTAAGAGATGTTTTGAGGAGGTAATAGACAATCTGTGTATAGTGTTTGATCTGAAAGACTTCGGAATCAGCTGCATGGATTATCAATTGGTGAAGAACCTGATTTGGTTGCTCAGTCGTCACTATCCTGAAAGATTGGGAGTCTGTTTGATAATAAACTCATCTGCTCTGTTTTCCAGCTGTTGGGCTTCTATAAAGGGATGGTATGTTGAAAGATATTCAGATATTCCACATTCATTCAGTTAATCCTCTAATACTTATTTTTTTCTAATCTATAGGTTAGATGAGAATACTACTAGTAAAGTAACTTTTGTTGCTTCAGAAGAACAGTTATGCAGTTACTTGATACCTGATATCTTGCCCACAGACATTTGAATTTGTCAATTTTAGCAAAAATGCAGGGGGCAATTGTATTCATCATCAACAGTCACGAAGTAACATTGTAAGTGACAACATATGATTTTACATGGACATTTTCAAAACTTGACCAAATATCATTTCATAAACTGCTCAAAATGAGGATGAAAAAAAATCACTAACTCCTCTACAGTTTTTTCCAATGTTGCTGGATTTATGTATTTCATCCTTCAATATCTGACCAACTCTTGTATTTTTTCAAACATATAAGATATATATTTGAAGAAGAACTCAGTTACTACCAAGATTCAGGATTATTTCAACACAGTCTCCAGACAATATCAGCTATATTTTCTTTGGTTTGAGAGGTATCAATAAAAATAATATATATCCTATGCCCCACTTCAAGTGTAACCACATGTTTCAGGAGTAGACTGATTTATTTGAATTCAATGATAAATCAAATTTAATTCATAAACCATCTTGAATGAAAATATTCAATTTGTTCATATCATATCAAAAAACAAGGGTGGTTACACTTGAAACACATTCACTGTTTGCCATTAATTTTTAGTTTTAATTGCCCCACTGGTTTTTGTTTGAGTCAACCTTGTTTTGTTTTTTATGAGTACTTATTGAATTCAATTCAGGTACTCCAGCCATACAGGTTCTTCAAATAGTCAAATTATAAGGTGCTAATCAAATTATTTGGTGTCATATGTAAGAAAGTAGTCATCTCTTTTGTTAATCATCTTATTGGTATTTTAACTTTTCCACCTCAAATACTATTTCAGTAATAACTTGGATTTCATCAATCAAATCAACCAAATTGAAATTATTCAGGGTAGGTAGATAATATTAGTGAAGACATATTGTATAAAAATTCATGCCAGAGATACCTCATAGTAGGAAATGTAAGTATATCAAGACATAAAAATATTAATCATACTTAAGAATGTTCAGGAGTGTTATATAATATTGAACAGTCTATAAGCTATTATTGAGAAGAAAGTCCTAATTTACTTACATCAGTATTTAGTTGAAATATTTTGATTACACTGAGCAGCATGTATTTTTTATGAAGTCTTTTTGATGATCAGGTAATTCAATTTTTAGATGGGTATGGTATATGTATATGGAAGTGAACAAATATTGATCAACACTGAGAAATATTCAATATGATTGAGCATTTACATAATGAAAATGAATTGTCAAAAATATCAGAAATTTCGTCAACATTTTTGTAAAAAATTGTTGATTTCAAAATCGTGAAAAATATCGAATTTTAGTCAATTTATCTCAATTTGTATGTGCTCAAACTAGATAGATTATAAACTTTTTATTTTTGTACTTTTATTTATTGAGGTTTATACATAACTATAGGTATACAGATGTGGAAAAAAATTGCATTGCCATCATATAGCATTCTCAATGCATTACCACAAAATATTCTGAAAATTTTGCAAACATTCATAGGGAAAGTCGCCAGAATTTGCTAGTGAGTGTTTCACTTGATCAAAATATCTTCAAAAATTGTTGAACAATGCAAAAAATGATTCACATTGGCCTACCCAGAAAATGCTAGATTTAGAGACAAAATCGATGAAACGGCAACGTATGTAAATTGTGATCAAGGCAAACAATTTGCAAGAAGGGAACAATGGTAAAGTTGAAAAGTTGATAATAGATCGCGTATATCTGTTGGTTGGGGTTCAAATGTATTGGAAATCCTATACAGGGTGATTCAGATGTAAGCGGCATCCTTTCGGGAGAGTAATCCTCGCGTAAAAATAGGACAAAAAGTTTCTATTAATATGTGTCCGACAATGCTTTCCTACCCCCTTTGAATAGGACACCTCAAAGACGTTATTTTCTCTATAACTTCAAAACATTTCACAATTGAATTTAGAAAATTGGTGTATGGTTTGAAAATTTGATAGTAACTATATCCCTTTTTTTTTCCTTTTATACTGTTCAGGTTATTGTGATTTTGTTTGGAACATTTCATTCAACAATTTCGAATTTATACCGTACACCAATTTTCAAAATTTAAGTTTGAAGGGTTCCAAAGTTATGGAGATAAAATCGTCTTTAAGGTGTCCTATTCAAAGGGGCCTAGCTTTCTTAGGAAGAATTTTCTTGTGAATTATGCCCCCGAGAGGATGCCGCTTACATTTGAATCACCCTGTACGCTGGCAATTTTTTTCTATATCTGTATGCCAGATCAATATGGGATATACAGGGTTTCAACAAATAAGTGTCACAACTGTAGATTGCTCATGAAAAAGAAACATTTTTTCCCTATCGAAATTTTTCTCCGGGCTTCCGTTATTAAGATACTGGGCGTCAAAAAAATACAAAAAAAAAACTGTTTTTCGCTACTATCTCAGGAACCGTCGTAGCTACGCCATTCTGATGCGCCAATATCTTTCACACAAAAATTGTCTAAAAATCCACTGGAAATAAACACCTCAGATCTGTCTAATAATATGTTCAATCAAATGTCATGTTCTTGAGTATGCTGGTCTCGATGCTGGTTTTCGAATTGTTAAGTTTATTTAGTGTTGTAAAGTGTGTTTAATTAAACTGAACATTTTTGATTTTTTGACGCCCTGTATCTTGAAAACGGAAGCCCGGAGAAAAATGTTGAAGAGGAAAGACATGTTTCTTTTATTATGAGGAATCTGTTAACACCCTGTATAATTTTCCACATGATACTGTAAAGGATTTTAGGTGGCATTTTCTTGAATAGTTCAGAATGTCTGTATTTTTGTTGTTTTTTCCTTCAAACATTGCTTACACTACTATTTTCACATCACTATCAATATCAGTTTTTTGTCATCATGCCATGCCGAAAAATGTGTAAATAAACATGTTTCATTCTGATTTTTTGTTTTTTTCAATCTCCTTAAATGATACGAAATTCTAAATGTTTAGAACTCTGTTTGATTGATTGATTGATTGATTAATGGCAGAATGATCAGTCAGGGTTTGAAGCCCAAAACACTGCAGCCTTTGGGCCTATTGTATTCCTGATCATGCTGTTGACTCAGGTGAACAGGTTCGCTACCTTGATGAGGTTTAGCAGCCTCTTCACCAGATCATTCTTTGAAAATGCCTCTTGAGAGTTTACTGCTCCCAGAAGGTTGTATCTCCAACGCGCTAGTGCTTCGCACTCCAGTATTACATGGGTGGCAGTTTCCTCCTCCTCATTGCATAGTCTGCATATGGGTTCGTCTGTATAGATGCCCATTTGATGCATATGTTTCCTCAAGGGGCAGTGACCGGTTATTAGTCCCGTCACTTGTTTGATCTGACTTCTGTTTAGGCTCAGAATGTCGTTAGTCACTGTTTTGGACAGTGTTCCAACCATCAGTTTACTGTGTCTTTGTCCTGGGACATTGTTCCAGTATGCCTGATGTCTTTCTTGCGTCCACCTTGCCAGCCAGCCGCGTATTGAGGTTTTGGGGATACCGAACACAGGTTCCGGCCCCATAAACAACGTCGCAGACCCCTGCCGGGCAAGAGCGTCAGCTGCTTCATTGCCTTCAATTCCCTTATGCCCTGGCACCCATTGAAGAGTTACCTTGTTTAGAAGAGGTAATAGTTATTTTTGTATTTCACGCACGAGTTGCAAACAAAATATTTTCTACAATCGTCAGAAAACATAAGGCTTAAATATATAGTTTTGAACTGGCATAAAAGGCATTAATTATTGTTAAATTCAGAAATAAATGATTTCTTGGATGTTTACTCGCGGACGTCATGAATCAGACGTGGATCACCCAGTATATTCAAATATCCCTCACAAATTTGGAAATATGTAAATAAAATTCGACCTGTTTCAGTAGAGATTACTCAGAAATATATAGTTTGGCTAAAAATGAATTTATATCCAACCCTTGACATATCCTTGATGTAACGGACTCACTGTATACAAACCCTATGTGTGAATATTTATATATGGTATAATTGACGCGGGCATGATAATTCCAACGTAGATCACCTTCTACCTATATTTAATTTTCTCGTATGAGTGTAGCAAATTGAAATTTGAAGTCGACCTATCCCGAGAGATTCTTCAGAAATTGATAGTTTATTGCCTGGAAAATATTTTATTCACTATACTTTACGAAAGCACTGTCTGGCTATAAGGGACTAGCACCATAAGAATGGTATCTGGCTACTGATGAGGAAACATCTTTTCATTCCTAATTGTACTCCCTCCTACATAAACACAGGTGTACCACAAGGATCCATCTTAGACCCACTTTTATTCATTCTGTATATCAACGATCTGCCAAGCAATATTCTTCAGGCTGCCACATCGATGTTTGCCGATGAAACATTATTCCGCAATGGTTCAAATCCGCAAGAATCTACCCTGAATCTGAATAACTCGACATTGAAAACAATAAATCATTAATGCGAAATAAACAACATAAGTTTAACTTTTACAAAACGCACTGTGTGAATTTCTGCCAGAGGAATTCATTAGATGTAGTTGATGTTGCCTTCAATGTAGCCTTTATAGATGAAAGTAAATGTCTTGGTTTCTTATTGGATTCGCAATTGAACTGGAAACATCATATTCAACACCTCAATAATACGAAATTAAGCAGCAGTTGTTTTGCTTTGAGAAGCTTGAAAGCGAATGGTCTGTTTATCGAAACCCTAAAAATGGTTTATTTTGCGAATTTTTACTCTCTCATGTCCTATGGAATTCTTTTCTGGGGTTAATCAATGATGTGGAAATCAGAGTGTTTGTGCTACAGAAAAAGGCAATTAGAATAATATTAGGATTAGGAATGCAATTCAATGAATTCAAAAGTTCAGTGAAAAATATTCTAATTAATGAAGCATACTACTCTGGCCTGTCAATTGTATTAACTGTCAACTGTTATTTTCAAATTTTGTATCAGAATTATTCAAACAATATTCGTTTGTACCAGAGTTCTCCATTAAAAATATATGCGGAATGTAGACGAAAAGTGAAATCGAAGAGAATGTTCTGGTAC